CACGCATTATCTAGGTGCCAATAACATTATTGGACCCGGAAACGCAAAGTAATTGTAGATAAAAAGCAAAGGAAAAAAGCAGTGGGAACGAACAGACATGGTTCCCGTCACTTACGTAGCGCATGTTATGCTGCTATTTGGCACGATGTGCACATTAACTTCCAAAACGGAAGCAATTTAACTGGCTGCGTTAGGAACGCTGCAATACTGAAAAACAAGAAAGGTCTTGCAAATAACGGTAGCCCTAACCAAGTGTTGGATATACGATCCTTTTCTGGTCATAGGCAGGCTCAAGTTAGGCTTTTTTCCATATCAGACATCTGCTTGCTCGGACGCTTCAAATCTTCATTTTTTAGGCCTAGATGATTAAAAATGTGATACTTCTAAATTCCATTACAACTCAATCTCCTATAAAATCTGGCGAGTTGCCGTTTTCTGGTTAAATTTGGTTTCCTCCAGGATAAAGACTAAAATGTGAATTACATCACTCACCTAGCTCACGCACATCAGTCATCACAGAAAAATGCAAAACAGCAAACAGCTGCGGCATATAATAACACTATCATGACATTAGGTTGCGGGGTCCCGTTTACGAAGCAGACGGTAACACTGGGATTAGTCAGTGTTGTGGAACTGTTATTCGAGTGTGTGTGTGTGTGGTGTGTGTTCATCTGTGAAGCGTGTGATCACCGGGCTGTGGCCAAAGCGGACTGAGGCAACACCACAAATACTGTCAATAAAATCCACATTAACTGAGCGTGTGTCCGATCGGATTCCAGAGCTATCAGCAGCTATATTGTTCGAATTCAATCACATTCTATGGACGACGGACACCGGTGTTCAATTCAAGCGCAAGACCAATTGTTAGCAGATAAACGCGTGTGTAAATAGTCAGTGCATGCGTTGATATATTTAAATCACATATGCCGCACACAATGGAATATCGCACAGATAAAGTTAGAGTTGTTTCTCGCCGTGCCGGGCGACAGAAGGGACACCCGGAGAAGGTTGTTCCCGAGACCCGAGAGGCATGGCGCCAGCGGAGCGGAGTCACGGGCACGCCGCGCTCAGCCGGACCACTGGGGAGCACTGCGGAGCGGGCCACCGGCCGGAGGGAGACGGGACGCCCGCCGCCGGCCGGGGAGGCGCGGCGACCCGCAGAGACGGGAGGCGAGAGGGAGGCGGGCGATCCGCCCTAACAGGCGGCGGGCGGGAGGCTTGGCGACCCGCAGACAGGCGGCGGGCGGGAGGCGCGGCGATCCGCCCGGATAGGCGGCCGACACCGGTGACTAGGTTAGGCTGCGTGCTGGTCCGTGGCCGGGGTGGCACCGAGCGGCACACAGCGTGGCAAGGTCTCCTCCGCGGGGGAGGCGCCGCAGCGGCCAGTCCGCCGGCTGGCCTGTACTCGACCCCAGGCCGCGGCCGAGAGCGGATACATGTGTGTGAAAATAGAGCTTCCTGTCCCCCTTACCGGCACACCCCACCCCGATCGCGACGAGCGGCGCCGGCACCGACACGCACAGCACCGAGAGCCGACGCCGCCGACAGTCTAACAACCCGACCCCGGGACTTCGCCGGCCGATCAGAGCCGGCCTCACGACACCGCAGCACACACACATCACCCACACTGGTGCAGGAAACGAACACTTGGATAGCTTCTCACGCACACGTGAAGTGTTTTACTTCAGATCAGCCAGGGTTGACTAGCGCTAAGAGTCAGCGTGAATCGACGACGGTGACGATACGATACAAAACCTCACCACCAGAACCTAATTGATATTTAGTTAATGTCTTTCATACATAATCACTCACGAGCCCGATATATGAAGAATAAACATCCCCGCTCAAATAATAGTATGACCTAGATTCCGACTTCGCTAGTCTCCTTTCACCTTCTCAAGTCATAGATTCGGCACGTCGCTGCTGCGGCGTCCGTGCTGATTGACGTCAGTCTCACGGACATCAGTCCAGCGTCAGACAGCAGCACAACGCCGTCACATCACCGTCACACACACAGACAGACACAAGCACATACACAGCACAGCGGACAGGCCGGCGCCCTGTCCTCTCAGTCGCCGCGGCCGACCGTCCTACATTGGAACGTACTGCAGCGCGGCAACGGCGGCCTGCCCGCGCCCATCAGCAGCGAAACGTCACCTTGGACACACGTCGACTCCACAGAGCGACCCGCCGGCGCCGCGAGGGACAGACACTCCCTGGACCCCGTCCTACCGCGGCAGACACTCCACCGTACCGTGCCAGACACTCCCAGCACAGGCGTCGGCACTCAGAAAGACAGCGCTGCGGCCGTGCCGGCGGGGACCGGCGGCCCGCGCTCCGCCATCTGTCTGCCGCGGAAACTGGGGACACCCACCTGGCGACCCGAGTTCTCTCGGAGTCCTCGGCGACCCGTGACCTCCCGCGGGACACAGCACAGGGCGCTCCATCTCCTGGCGTCAGCCGCCGCCGAGCGGCTAACACCAGGAGAAGAAGGGCGACTTCTGCTGGAACCGCTGCGTGAACGTGTCACTGATGGACCGGAAACGGGTCTCCGAGTGGCCGCCCTTCGCCCTGGAACGAGAAGTAGAGTGCGCGTGAGGGGACGCACTGGCACGACACTCAAATGAGTGCGCTAGACGCACAGGATCTCGAGCTTTCTGCATTCAGATGAGGCATGTACGAGAGACTCCACACAACGAAATAGAAGTGGGAGGCGGGCTTGGCGCCAAAATCTGGCAAGACCGAAAGCTGAAATTTTGATCAGCTGTCCGTTGGTTGTGGACGCACTCTTTGGAGAATGCAATGCTCCCGGCTCGGATTTCTTCACTGAAGTATGTTATACGCTGAGGTTACACGGCACAAATTGCTACGCTTTCGTAATGCTGTCGAAACCTGGATTTCTCCAGAGACTTGGGCAACTGTTCAGTCTGGCGAAGGTCATTTCCGGCTCAAACCCAACAATACGCCTATTGGAACTCCAACCAACTATCTAACTGTCACTAAAACCATCACTGATACGATTCGTTACCTGTGTTATAATCCTGCTGCGCAGCCCTAACCTCTAATGATTGTCAATTCGAGTTCAAAGGCCCAGCGGGCTGCCCGAAAGCTGTTACCTGCCGCCACTCAGCAGAGCCCTCCCACATACCGCTCCTGACAGACTACCTGCGCCGGGTAATGGCAAACGTGGCACAAACACTCAGCGCTGCCGGGCCCGGCCCGCCGCTGGACCGATGGGTGGGCGGCACCGACAGCCGGATATCGGGGGCGTGTTGACGGGCCGACGCAGGCTAGCCGGAGTGTCCGCGGTTCCGCCCACCCATCTCAGCTAGGCGGCGACAAACACGACAGCTCGGGCTGCAGCTCCTATACAATCGGGCGAGTGTCCGCCCACCTATCTCAGCTGTGTGGCAATACAGCGACAAACACGACAGCACAGCTTGCAGTTCCTAAACAGTTGGCTCAAAGTCCGCCCACCTATCTCAGCCAGGCGACACTACAGCGAATGACCCATGAATAAGAAAACGATGGCACAAATTGAAACTAGACATTTAGAAGCACCTAAAACACGGTTTAGGAGAAAAGTTGGACATAACCAGCAAAGAAACAATAGCAATTCAGCGACTAATGCTTCGCGAACTGTCAACAGCTGTGGGTTTTTAATCATTCAAACTACACACTAGAAACATCGCTATCCGTCACTAGCACATTAATGACTTAAGCAGCTACAACCAAGTGTTCAACAAGACGGGTAATGACAATGTGCAATGTCAGGTACATACAAAGCTGCAAATGACATTACGAGCGTGTGAAATTCATGGAATGGAATGCTTAAGCTGCAGTTAGGTAAGTGTTTCTTGATGCCTCTATTTAACGACCAAAGCCGATGAAAGCAGTAAAGTATCGTCGAAATGAAAGAAAATGGGTCATTGCATAATATTAATTACGGAGCGAGCGAAGCGAGCGGAGTCTTACGTAGAATAACGGAAATTTCTGAGTATGAGCGGCCGGCCGGGGCCGTGGTCACGCTTTTGCGAGGCTTATATCTCAGCAACCACTTGACCGATTTACACGCGGTAATTTTTGTAGGGTAGCTTCATTCCTTCTACCAAGTATTGGACTATTCCCGATGCATGTGGGTGACCCCTTATGCACGTGCCACGTGCAAAACGAAGAGGTGTCACTTTTGTAATTGTTGCAATATCTCGGTAACTACTTGGCTGATTGCGCTGAAAGTTGGCATGTAGGTAGGCACCCACTAGGCACTGCATATACATGTGCCAGAGTTGGGGTGCTGCTGCACGTGCGCACGTGCAGGGGTCGTTTCCAGATCTCGAGAACGGCTGGACCGATTGCGCTCAAATTTGGTACACGGTTAGGGACCGGTTAGTAGGGTGCCGTGCACAAGTCAGTTGGGACCCATTTTGCACGTGCGCACGTGCAGGGTGCCGCTTCCAGATCTCGAGAACGGCTGGGCAGATTGTGCCCAAATTTGGCACATCGCTAGAGACCAGTTAGTAGGGTGCCGTGCACAAGTCAGTTGGAGGTACCCCCTCGCAATTTCGCACGTGCAAGGCCCACCCTCTCGCTCGCTCCGTTAGTCGCCCCAAAAGGCGTTATACTGGTAATTAATTAAATGTGTGGTAGCGGTGGAGGCACAAAAAAGAAACAATTGCAACTTTCTACGAAAATAAATAAGTTTGGACCGAGGTTTCCTTTCCAAACTGTTTGTTTGTGACTCAAGCTTCTAAAAAATCGACGACTTCGACTACAGACACCTATTCCCAAACTGGAATCCTCTTACCCCGCGCCCTGCTGGGGGGGGGGGGGGGCGTTTGAACACCCTCTGCCGCGAGTATCTAAAAACGGCGGCGCGGAGAAAACGTGGTCGAAGTAATTTCGTTATTATTTTTGACGCTCTTTCGAACATCGCCTACCCCGTATCGCTACGTGGCCCAAGAGCCGAGCTCGAAGGGGTGGGGAGAGATTCAAACATCCTCCCCCCCCCCCAGCAGGGCGTGGAAATCCACGAGCCCCAGCGAGGCGCAGGGCTCCTAACCGCCTCAACAATATCACCCACATCACAGAAAATGACTCATAAAATGTAAAATAAAATGACCCAAGTTAAGTGATTCATTTTTTCTTTTGCTTAAACATGTTTTTCCGTATTCGTAACACGCCGGTAGAAAACACGCGTAATAGTTATGTTCCGACAAACAAACGAAGGTAGGCTCATGACAGTCAACCAATGTCTTCTCTAACTCCAGAGCCGGAGTCGGCGAGGTTTCGGCAACTCTGACTCTGGTCAAGACTGGGGACTTCAACGGCTGCAACTCATACCTAGGCATGATGCTGACTTATGCAAACCTGAGAGACAAAAAAGCAAGCCATTCATGGTGACGACTCTGCAAGGTGAATCATCATAGTCATTGCCGTTGAAAGTTTTACTTTTCTACGATTCTACGAGGCACAGGTACAAAACTAAATTTAATGGAAATTATCAGTAGCCGCTATCTAGACGTTATTTGATATGCAAGCTGATATGAGATGCTAAATGTTAGTTATAAAAAGATAACAACACTCGCAGCCAGTCACCACCTTGCGGACCGGCGTCCAAATGGAGGACAAACTCCTACTAGTGCTACCAAATAGTACGGAATAGGACACCCCCAGGGGTCAGTACTCCACTATACTCGTAGGTGTCCGCCCACCACTTCCTTGACGGGTCACCAGGCAGACAATCGTCGGGAAACTACCGGACCAATTAGCCGCAGCACATTAGCAGCCGACGGACAGTCGCGTGCTTTGGGGTGACTGATGGTCCGCAGCAATCGGCTGCATTATGTTCGCTCCATATCGGTTACCAGTGGAGGCGGTACGCCTTTCCTGCTTGAAGGAAATTGATGGCACGAATGGGCGAGTGGATGGCAATAAAGGGAAAGGCAGGACGGCCCGGAGGCTGCGCAGTGACAATGAAAACTGGAAACCATCTCTTCGACTCGACATAAAATATCGTTCTCAAATCCGGGACCAGGAGTCTAGGCATTCTGGTAACGGGGTATTAAGATCGGTCAAAGCCAGAGCTGCGGAGTCGGTCGGAGTGGACATATTTGACCGGAGTGGGAGTCGGAGTCACCAAAAATCCATCGACTCCGCAGCGGCGTCAAAACCGTCGTCATATCTTCACCACGATATCGTAAAATGCCGTGATACTGCTTCGATAACACTATAATCCCACCAGGACACTGCCAGCCGGTACTCACTTTTCGACGACGACGACGGGCATCTGCACTAGCTGGACGGGACTCTTGCCGTCCTTGAGGGCCTGCGCCAGGTTCAGCATCTGGCCCCGCATCACCGACATCTGGTGTTCGAAGAGCTGCTTGTCGAAACCCCGGTCCGTCTGTGGGGAGGCAAAATGTTGGCGTAATGATCGAATTGGTGACGTCATGCACACGACAGCTTGACAAAACCCATTCAATGTTGTCTTACATACAAACAATAGGTGTCTGCAGTACTTGAAGCGTATGTTTATTGCTGACTTGGGATAAATAAATACACAAGCTTAGGTGGCATTGCAGAGACAAAGACAATGGTCATCCTGGTAAGATCGCCTGGCCAGCTAGCATGCCACTGAGGCAGTCGGCAAATGTATATGTGGCCCAATAGCCGACCGTAGGACGCTTGGGCGACCCGGGGTCTCGTGAGTGCTCAGTGTACCTATACATTAATAGTTCACTCGGACTGCAAATCATGACATATTTTCACGATACCATACTGCCTCTCAGAAATGAAGAATAATACATTGCTCAGCAAAGAGGTAAGTTCCACTTACGCATGAAAAATAAAACACGAGGAAAGCACGCACGTTACCGCAGCAACAAAGTAACAGATCTCACAGTTGGCAGCTAACTACACGGTACTTCAATGAGAAACTCGCCACATACGAAAACACAACTTTGTTGTGCAAACTGCAATGGCAGGTGCTGTCAGCAATGTAACGCAACTGTTCAAACCTCTCGACGGGTGGCGCTGTTGCACCGTATTCAGCGCTGTCACCAGTTCAACGCCGATGCAAAAACAGTAGGTAGGTACGTGCAAAACCAGTAAAGCTGAGCTGGATTATTCCCTATCAACGTGGCCCTGACTCGGTTTCATGTTGGTTCACCATGATACCCAGCATTTCCGACGACCCAATCGCGTTCAAAATACCCACATCCTGGTAAAAATGTCCATTCCCGCGCCGTCTTTCATTCCCCATACACCATGTATCTTTAAAGAGCATAAAGTCGCTGCGATGTCCCCCAGTCATTTGACGTGACAAGAAGCAATTCACAGTGGACGCTCTCCAAACGCCGTCTGAGCCGCGGAAGAATGACTGACGATGTCATGTCTCCTCAAACAATATCGCGTCCGGGGAGCAGCGAAAGAGAGAAGAAAGAGAAAAAGGGAGCAGGAGAAGGGAGGGATAGGGTGAGAGACCGGAAGCCAAGTCATTCAAGCCAACACATTTCACCGGCTTGTTAGCAGTAATTGTACCGCACTCAGTTTCCATAGAACACGGCCATTCGAGTGGCGATCTTCATTACTTATTTAGGCATTGGCGTGACATCGCAGCTTAATTCAGCCAGCTGATTAATGTCTAGCTGCCGCAATTATGCGTAGCGGCACACGCAGCCGGCGCATTTTCACTCGTCCTTCCTTTATTTAAAGAAGCGCTCGCAGCAAAGACCGTCACGTTTCGAGGTCCTAATGTTCCGGTCACCGGGACAGGGGACGGGCAGCTATGGATCGCCGCACCCTCCTTAAAACGACACGATGGTCACTGGCCAATTGACAATGGGCGCCTTTTGAAGCGGCATGACGGCAATACCGGCAAAATGGAGCGCATGTAGCGTGTTTGGAATGTCCGTGGGCTCGGAAAGCCGGCTAGAAGTGAATGATAACCTGGCGTAACCACGCAGCACTAATGATAGCGCGGTGTCACTGGTGGGTGGCACTGTAACTCAAAGTTGTCACTTATTAGAACCAAGGATGTCCTGATGAGTAATATCTTAGAATTATTATCCTCTGTTATATTTACTGTATACCGAATGGTGGAAATTTCCGCGTGTGTCGTGCGACAACCAATGAATGAATTACGTTACAAAGATCATTTACACTCTTACGTCAACATGAAAAGTGACAGCCAATCGTGAAGATGACACAAACCATCGGCAATATCTAACTTAATATGCCAATGGTATGGACATTTGGGCCATCGCCATGGCATGCACCATTTGTAACTAGGCACTGTAGGCAGGCACCGCTCTTCGATGCTATTCAAATGGTATTTCTACCCCATGCGTTCCGAGTGCGCTGGGGAGTGGGGGAACTGCAGACCTTCATTGAGCTTTTACTGTTGGAAACGGTTTTGGTTTTAGGGCGGGTAAAACTATTTTCAATGACCTGTCTAGAGAGCAAAGTTTTAAATTTGTATTTTATGTTGTGCTGTTTTTTTGTGATTTACTTATTTTAGGCCTATGACGTCGCCTGTAAGTGGAGATTGCTCTGTTGGCGATTATGCAAATAAATAAATAAATAAATAAATAAATAAATAAATAAATAAATAAATAAATAAAAATAAAAAACTGATAAATACAGAGATGCCCCTAACCTTGACGCATCAAATAAACAGCACATGTCTCGATACCGATACACAAATGCGGACCGGCACTAAACGATTCCCTGCCAGACCAACCAGAACATACTGACTCAAGACATCTACTCTTGCCACCAGCTGACCGGACTTGGGCCGCCCGGCGTCCAGGAGCCCTGCCGGTCCAGGAGGCTGCTCGGCGGGCTGCTGGCGGGGTCGGTACTGGCTGACCCCGGTTGCGCGATTACCGTCACTTTTGTGTTCATTTCGAAGAGGCACTTTAATTTAAGTTTATCTTTTGCACCGATCCACCACTGAACTCGTTAGGTGTTTTGTTTTGTTTTGTTATTCAATAAAATCAACTGAACTGAACCAGTCACCCTCCATCCTCTCCGCGTCACGCACCTTGAACAGCCGGTGCAGCTGCTCGCAGAGGCCCTCCACGAAGTTCATGTCGGATATGAGCGGTAGCACGTGGTCGCGCGTCTGCGTGGAGAAGGGCCGCTTGGCCCAGGCCAGCCAGGCCCAGTGGTACGGGTAGGCGCGCCAAGAGTCCGGGTGTTTGAACGGGAACGCCAGGCCGTTGTCGATGGCGGCGACCCGGACCGAGGGGCGGCTTGGTCCGCCGCCGTCACCGCTCTGAGGGGAGGGGGAGGGGGTGTTACCCGGCGGCCCACACCTGTGATAACATGGCGCACAGTACGCGGACGTCCCTACCCACACCCTCAACCATGAGAGTGATAGTGGGGTGAAACATGAGAAAATACGATACATATTTTCTAGATTATCAGCCAGAAAACCACATCACCAACTCAGTCACCATGAGTTCTCCCATCATTTTTATCTATGTGTTGCTAAGCAGAAAGGTTGTTGATAACAGAGAAAAACAATCAATAAAGTAAATCGGCGGTCCAAGGTAACAAATAACGCACGGCCTCGTCAGTCAATGTGGTGCGTATCAATACAGCGGACATCCGACGGGAGCCGATAAGGCACATGGCGTCCGCGACAGAATGACACCCGTCATCGGACACACTACATACATGTGGTGGCGTATAAATCAAATGGCCGACAAGCACTGTCCCGTAATACAGTACTCGAGGGGATAAATACATTTAAGATGGTATGATGCCAGGTTCTCGGCAGACGAACGTTAAAAAAAAAAACGGTGAGGAATACAAGCAGTATACACTATGACTGAATGTGACAGACCATAAAAAACCGGCACACAAATAGACAGAGTCATAAAAATAGAATGTATATCATTAGTCAGGTGGTAGTTAGCATCGTTAATGCTGGGTAGCTTATTACCGACGCCCTTGACGACGAAAAACACGAAGCCGGCAGCTGTAACTGATGGTTATATACCGTCTCATACATGGCTTACCATTCCATCTGACAGCTCTATATTCGGAAACAACTGATGACCTAGAAAGAATAACTAGCTCAACACCTATGCCCTAAAAACCATACCCGTGTGACAAAGGAAATGCCAGGTGAAAAGGAAGTTTTCGGCAGTCACATACGTAGGAACGCACGTATAGACATTTACGACGTTGCTGCCAATTATAAACCAGCGCGACAAATACACCCTAGAGTGCAGTCCAACGGTTACGTCGAAGCAAACCTATCGTTAGTCGCCAGTCTCACACCTCAGCCGTCGCTGTCTCGCTCCTTGTGCTCACCTGTCACCCGTCTCGTCTCACACCTCACCCGCCGCCGGTCTCATATCTCACCCGCCGCCGGTCTCACATCTCACCCGACCTCCACCTGGCCCCTTACCTGGCGCTCGTCGGGCTGGTTGTACTTGATGAGCCAGTTGTCGTTGCCGCGGTCCGTGTTGCGGATGATGTAGTCGAGCACCACCAGCCGCTCGAACTGCAGCTGAAACTCTGTCTGCAGCTCGTCCGAGAGCTGCTCCTGCTCGAACCGGCGCAGCCAAAAGTCGGCGTCCTTGTAGCCCTCGACAAACAGCTGGAACGAGCCCACCTGACGCAGAGTGCGGGGAGGTGTTAGCGGGTAGATGGAACGAACCCGCCTGCCCGCAGCCACGGACGAGGATATGTCAGACAGCTGTTGCTGAAGAGCAGCGGGGGACCTGGTCAGAAGACAGCTGTCGGCGACGAGGAGCAGTGAGACGACAGATGCCAACGGAGACGGGTAGCGGGCGGCAGCAGGCTGTTGGCGACGGCTTACTGTCAGAGGATAGCTGTCGGCGCTCTGCTAACTGGGGCGACATTGGGATGGGAAGGGGGGGGGGGCAATCATGGACACGCATTCATGTATCACCGTGATAACACGTAACCCAAGCGACACACCAACATTCCAAATCACATATACCAGCCAACTCATTGTTGTTGTGTGTATCGAGTCACTAGCAAATGCCCCCGAATAATCAAAAAAATTGCAAACAACGCATCCGGCACGGTCTATCCATACATTACAAGGCACGGTCTATCCATCCATCACAAGGCACGGTTAATGTAGCAGTGGGTAATCACCGAGGACCGGACGGCGTAATCAGTGGTGTTACATTACAAGCTTATACATGATTGCCCACAACTGCGGACTCTGAACATGACCATTATGCCCCCCCCCCCCACCCACCCACAAAAAAACGAACTACGTCATTCCAAAGCAACAGGCCATTAACTCGTTCCTGGTAACAAATGACCATGCATTATGCCACGAGACATACCTCAGCAAATCACGCACTGGATTGTTACCAAGAGGGAGAGAGCCTACCTTGGGAGGCAGTCCCAGTCGGTGGAATTTCCGTCCCACTTTGGGGAACCTCTCCGAGACCATCTGTTTCAGGTGGGACTTTTCCCGGTCGATTCTTGTGTAGTTGAAGGTATCACTGGCCAGCTTGACCACCTGTAGCGGCCAGAATGACCGAGTCAACAAAGATACAGGAACAGGTCGCGGTAAAAACTGTTAAATAGAAAAAGCGTAGCACGCAGAGAACGATGGAAATGCACAATGATAATCGATTTGAAAGTCAGAAACCACATAGTGAGCTAGTCGGACCTTGCACAGACCAGTACAGATACTCAGTTACGGTCAAAATACATACAAGAAGAACCAAACAATGCCACACTCATAAGACGCGCCTTGTTATGTAGGTACCACTATCTCTACTGCTGTATGTTACTATGCGTCTTCAATAAATTTGCGTCATTATATCCCAGCGGGCGCAGTGATATTGTAGACCTGGACTGTACAGTGCATGCGAAATTTCGTATTTTTGTGCAATGTCTAGCTGGCGGGAGAGTGTCAACGTTTCATGACCAGTTAAGTCGCCCAGCCCACTGTTCGGAGATTAATGAAGTAGGCCACTATGGTATTAAGTTTCTAATTAAAGCCAGACATCATCGAAATGTAATTAGGTTCGAGAAAGGTAATTCGGTACAATCAATATTAGCCCTGAAAGATTGTGATAACGCCAAATGCACTTTATCCCCATTTCAAAGTCGCTCTTGATACGGGATATAAAATTCCAGCCGTGGATACCGGAAGTTATTCATAAACAAACACCGTTTCCTATCCGGCCAGCCCAAGACGACGGCATTCTTTGACGAAACTATGACACCATTTCCGACAGAGCGGCTCGGCGAGGGGGCTGCCGGTCCGCTAGCCAGACCAGGACTCGAGCACCGGCGCCGGGCGGTGTCACGGTAAACACCGATCACGTGCCCACCGACCACTGTGTCACTGGGCCACCTCCCGAGACGCACCAGAAACCACCGGTTACTACATCCCAGACGAGCCACCGAAATCCATGACTCGTTACAAGACGCCCGGCGCAGGATAAACAAACGCCGTCGCGGCGCTGCCGCTGTGTGCCGGCCTCCGGGACCGGTACGATCCGACGCCGGCCGGTGCGGCTCAGTTACCTTGGTCTTGGGGACGACGTTGAGCGCCAGCTTCTGGTCCACCAGGCTGGCGCCGGCCTCGGACAGGTAGCCCTGGTTGGGCGCCAGACACGAGCGCCCGAAACAGCACGGACAGCACAGCTTGTGCATCCACTTGGTCCACTTGGGGTTCAGCCGGCCGTACGGCTCCTCGTCCTTGGGTTTGAACACGGCGATGACTTTCTGCCGACGCAGAAAATACAGCGGTCAGGTCTGATCGCCAGGATGGAGATCAACTCACAGTTCGCACGCAGCTTCCACGTCTTATCAATCGATTGACAAATACCACGCGCCGAACCATAGTCCATATCAGCAAACCTATTGGGTTTTGTTGCCGATAAAACGTGATGAACTAATTGTACGTTAAAAACGCATTAAATTTTCAATAATCGCAGAAAAACAAACCTTGCGGTAGGTTTCATGACAAAAGCGTACTACTGTTTGTGGGATGAATATCCACGAACGATATGGTTCAAGGTTATCAGTAAACACGGCACATTTTACGATGTGAAATCGCCAAGTGTCATACACTCCTGTCAACACCATCAAGTAAAACAGCATCGTAAGATTACCAGTTGTCATAAAACGTAAAACAACCTCCTCGCATGCAAACACACACACAACCCTTAAGCAATGAACCCACTATAGACATACATTGAGATTGGGTACTTACGCAAACTAGTAACATACACAAACGGACGACTACAAGTCAAACACAAACACACACACACAAAAAAAAAACAGAAAAAGTAATGGGTTGTTTCACTCCCGCAATATACTGACTCACATTTTCGGGATTTTTCACAAAGTAGCTGCCGCTGGAGCCCTGGTATATCCGCTCCGGGTAGATGCCGTTTTCGACGGCCATCTCTGCCTGCCGCACCAGGTCAGTGAACTCGGCATCCTCTGCAAAATGGACGGAGCAATGTTGGACACTCTCTGGATGGGCTGCGATAAAACAGAGCTGCGTTTTCTCAGGGGCGGTAACATGCCTGCAGTTGGTGGCAGTGGTGGGTAGAGAATGCATCACCTTAGATCCCAATGGCTAGCAGGTGGACCATATCTGAATATGTTAATATGCCTCATGTAAACTTGATGCATAAGCCAGCTTTCCATCCTAGTTGGAGTAAGCTGGTGCAAACATGGATTTGTCCCCCTTCCAGCATGACTTTACACCTCTGCTGCCATGGGTAGGTACTTGGCAGTCTAGCATCTATCTGGTTACTCACCTGGCCAGTGATTGAAGGTGAAGTCGAAATCCATGCCGCCACCCAGCAGGGGCTGGTTTTCACGTCCAGGGCGTGGTGAGCCCAGTTTGATGAATGAGGGCCCGAAGGCGACGTCTGGCAGTAAAGGTTGGTCGGAGGTGGTGCTGGTGTTTGAGGCAGTAGACTCAGTGCGCTGGCGCTCCTCTGCATTCATAGACAGTTCAATGCAAGGAGCTTGGCTCTGGTCCATACCGGGTCACCAGCCGCCAACTACCATTGCCCTTGTGATTTCTGACAGAGACACTGGATGCTCACACAAGTAGTCTGCAACAAAGGACAACAGTCAACAATGAAGATAGTTTTCATTAGGCCCATGTTGTCCCCCATATATAAAAGTGTGGGTCCACTACCACGAATTACGTCACACATGTGGGCAGAACTATGAGCAGAGCCTAACACATGTGGCAGCCTGAGCCACCATAGGTAGGTATTTCAATTTGTATTTTAATAGAATCTTACTGATATTTCGAGTGCAGTCAATTTGTATGGATAGTGTGATGACAGTTAAGGAAAACTACTGGCATCCGCTCCCTATGCCTGAGTGTGGGTCCCCTATTTGGTAGGCAATTATGCACCGAGTGAGTGTAGGCCTTGTGTGGTTAAAAAACATTATTATGCCTTATTTTTTTCATTTGAATGCTAGGATTCATTGAAAAGATGAAATTGTCTGATTTTATGACCATATATGGTCATCGCCCTGCCCACTCCAGCCGCTGATTGGCTAATCCAATTTTTGTTTGGCTCCATGTAGTTTTCCCAACTGATGTGACGTCATACTGACTACCCCTCCCCTACCCCCACGCCTGGTGCACATGCCGCACACACCGCACGCAGCAGTGTGTGGTGCCAGTGAACACTGGACAGCCCTCTGGTATATCAATATCGGGCCTTGGTTCCCATCACAAATTGCTTGGTGAGATGCAACATCTGTGGAAATTAGCCATCAACCAGGAACAAAAGGTGATTACTTGTATTTTGGTAGGCAATGTCAAAATGAGATTATCGGAGGGGTGTTCACGGGCACCGCACACTGCTGCGTGCGCTGTGTGCGGTGCGTCCAGCAGGCGTGGGGGTAGGGGATGGGTAGGCGGTTCTGACGTCACGGCTGCGTGCGGTGGACGGTCCGCTGTGGCCAGTCCCGACCGGCCACAGCGATCGCTGTGTGCGGTGACGGAAGGCTGACGTAGGGACGCAGTGGGCGGAGCTTGGAGGCTGTGTGCGGTCCGACCGCACACAGGGCCCGTGAACAGCCCTCTGATTATCTGTGCTATTTTCCACAGTTTCAAAAGTGAGCGAAATCAAGACAAAGGACCTTATCCACTTGAGGAAAACGGCTGAATCAGAGAACCACAATTTGAATTGGACGCACATATTTCGTCTCATTAAAAACGTGAAAAAAACAATCTCATCAGCAAACACTGAACTTGAACTTAGCATAAAATCAAGGCCCTAAATCAAATACAATGAAATACAGCATAAAATAACCAAAAAGTACCTTTCAGAGCTCATCAGTCACCTCAGTCACCACATAACGCATCATCAGAGGGCCACCAAAAATAATTTCGCAATCGTCAACTATTAGCCTGCTTCACATTGCCAAGTGATATTGCAAGGACCTACGTCATTTGACGTCATCGAACATACTGACCAGCGGACCAGCCAGTTCAATTGCGACTGAAACAGCAAGCAGAGTCTTTTAAAATATGCATTGCCATTTGATAAAGAAAAAGTAACTATTAAGCCGATGCATATGCGGTGAATATACGAAAATATTGGAGCATATAATTTATAAATAATGGACAAGTTCAACCACTCTCATTCAACTTATCGCAGTCAGTGTGATGTGACTGCGCTTTAATGGTTAAGGTTAATGAAATGTACACATAAATAATACATATTGATTGACGTAATTACAACTATTGTTTCAATAATATGTCCACGTTTCACCATTTCACTTTATGTGGAAGAAAGTATACATAAGTTTACAATTTTGTTTATTTTTTGGTGATGCCATCCTTTAAAATGGAGTTGAATGTAGAAAGGAAAATGACAACGTCATCTTCAGATTTATTTTTATGACTGCCCACTGAACTCTAGAATGTGACTGCCTTATTTTGTGAGACGAAACTGGCGCTGGCATCTGTGTTGTTTACTCAAGTTGCGTTTCGTAGCGGCGTCAGGCCCATGTCGTCCCCTATCTCTCTGCGTGTCCACTAACACGAATGACGTCACGCATGTGGGCGGAGCTATGGGCGGAGCCTAACGCACGCGGCAGTCCAAGCCGCCATATTTGAATTTATATTTTAATATAATCTTGCCGATATTTTGGGTGAAGTCAGTTTATATGGATAGCTTGGTGACAGTTTAGCTATACGAATAATAATTTATTATGGATGTGCGTATGTTCAGCTTGGAATTGCAATTAAAGTTCCACACCGCATAGATTCGAACTCGGGACCTTTGGAATACTGCGCGGGCACGCTAACCACTACACTACCGCGACCGCGCGGCGGCCGGCGGCAGGGAGGCTGCGGAGACATGGGGGGACATTTTACGCTTTTATGAAAAAAGCAAAAGATTTAGCGAAAAACACGTAATAGATAACTTGCAGAAAATTGTCTTCTCTTTCAGATAAGATACTTAAGTTTGATATATCTTGTGCAGACTTCATTCTACAGTGCTTCGAAAATCGCTCATTTACATGAGGATTGAACGGGGCTTCGAGACTTGACTCCAAATGACGTCACGAGCTGACGTCACGAAAAGGTAGAATCGCCGGACGACCCTACCTGGTATATAGGGCCTTGAGCGAACTTATACGGCCTTGCTTGAGCGGCGTCACAAAAACACGGAACGGGTGCGTGGCGTGAGGGGTGACCCCGAAATAAATGACCATTTTTGATATCGGAGTTATTGCCGTTATTTGTAAGGGATACACCTTCCCTCGGCACGACACCTAAGGTTTTTGGAAAGTGAGTAGAGCATGAAGGTTGCTAACCACTCTACTCTGCAGCTGCAACTTTGACTTGGTCTTGAACTGTTGGACTCACTCGACTCACTCAATGCTTTCTGATAGCCACTCGGGCAAGTGCTACAGCTTACATCAACATGAGCTCTTAAATTGAAAACAGTGGTGTCAACTTTTTGTAACCCTGGTGGCCTGGTGTCGACACCTGGAATATCTACCTGTCAGGTAAGGGGGAGCATTCCAGTCTAGGGGTACGTTACTTGCCTCTAGATTGGGCCATCCGGGTTCAATCCCCGGGCAATTCACGTGGCATTGCCGCTATGTGACCGCTTGGAACAGCGTGAGAGTTCCGGTTAGGGCCTTGGTCCACTGGATGTGGTGCTTAACCCAAGCCAACCAACCAACCAACCTGTCAGGTAAGGCCTGTTGATAACATGACAAAAGCCCAGTTTGAAAGTACCTCTTGTCTCATATCTGTGTGCATTGAAACTGATGAGATGTTCTCACCACCCTCCAAGCTGAATTAGATAGGCTTGTTGAATGATCAGAATGTTGGCAGCTGCCGTTCAACTGCAACAGAGCAAAATGCAAGTCACTGTACAGTCTGTCTTAAAAGTACCACGCAAAGTAACGGTAGATCCATCAAGCCTGACCGAGGAAGGGCCTGCTTAATTTGAGTCACCGAAGCAATTGACATCCTCGTCCATACCCCAGGTCAATTGGTTCGGCGACTTTCAAATTATAGCAGGCCCTTCCTCGGTCAGGCTTGATGGATCCACTGTTACTTTGCACGGTACTTTTTTTTAAGACGGACTGTACCTGGGCCCCGGCAACGAAAATCATGTCTACAGTATGTGCAACACACAAGTGAACGAGCTCTCAGTGGATAGTGATCTTAAGATCCACATCGACCATCAGGCATCAACTCAAGCTCTGTGGGCAGGCAGCCACAGCGATCTTGAAGACATTGTGCATCCTGTCTGTGATCCTCAGAAGCTTTGCCCTTCTAGACAAAAGGACTCTGCCATTGCTGTTATGAAATCTAAATGATGGTTCAGCCTCAGCTGGAATATACCAACTCCATCTGGATTCTGGGGACCCTTTTATGGGGTAGACTAGAGGCGCGTAGAAAAGGAATCAGAGGAGAGCCACGAAGCTGGTTGCCACAATCCGTAATCAGCCGTACCAGGAGAAGCTACGGATTCTCGACCAGCCGTCTCGTTACCATCGCCGTCGCTGCGGCGACATAACTGTCTACCAGGTGCTGACTGAGACAGCCGACAGGGGATTAACCTCGAGAGGGAGAGGTTCTTCGCGGTGGCGGCAGCGACAGACAACACACCGCGGACACCAATGGAAGTTGTCGAAACCGAGGGCGAAGGCTGTCTCCCGAGTGCGCCGAACTGTCTTCTCCTTCCGCGTCATCGACGATTGGAACGCACTCCCTCCCGCCATCAGTAGCCGATGCCCGCAGCCTAAACGCCTTCAAAGGTAGACAGGACACACAGCTCACATAACACACACAACTCACCTTAATGACTGAGTCAGGACTCAGGACACTGCAATGAGCTCGATAGGACCGGATCCTAGAGGCCAAGTGGCCTTTCAAAATTCCGAGCTATAAGTGTAAGTATCAATTCTCCGGTTCATAAGTTATAGGAATTCCGAACTATAAGTGTGTCGATTCTTTGGTTCATTATATAGGTATGTATCAGTTTTAGGGAAGGGAGTCAGGTCACTGAAGACCATATTGCATGTATCCTGCTTGCTTGCCAAGTGCAGTTTGGAATGTTGATTTTTGCTGATAATGCTATTTTTGGAGATAATGAGACTGCATAGTTAATGATTGGCAATTTGCTTTCAGGGCAGGTAGAACCTGGAGCTCAAGTGTGGAGACTCCGCATCCTGAAGTTTGGTATACCTAAGAGCGATGATTTAAACGGAAGTTGAGCTTACCACAGTTGACAGTTGTCGGCTGTACGTTCCTCCGGGTCTAGCGTGTCTCTCTCTCTCTCTCTCTCTCTCTCTCTCTCTCTCTCTCTCTCTCTCTCTCTCTCTCTCTCTCTCTCTCTCTCTCTCTCTCTCGCCAGTTGCTTGCTTGATGGATTTAGGTAGGCGGTTCAAACGACTTTTCTCTCTCCAGCCTCGGATTCGATGCCACCAAGAACGAAGGCAGATGGCGCAGATGGGATGGATAGTATCCACTAGACCACTTGGAGGACTAATTTGCGGTAAAATCATCTTGGGAGACAATATTCTTGCATGGAATATGTCAGGTGGTTTGCAACAGAACGAAGAAGTAGGTACTACTGAGTGCTGTAAAACATACGTGCATGCAAGTTGACCGATGGTTGTTAGGTGTGGACTGTTGATCGACATCAAGAGTTTCTGGGTCCTGGGCAGTCCTGGGTCGACTGGACACTGGTTGGTGATGGCTGCATAAAAATCATAACCTTTACAGAATCACTGATGCATTTCTTTTTATGGAGAGGGAGGTCCAGGCGTATGCTCATTTCTGCACTCCTAGGGAGCTACGAACTGGTGATCGCTTAGTAGCTTTTATGCTTTTTGTGCGCTTCATTGGTAGATGGGATTCAAAACAAACAAACCTTGTAACAAAACTTGCTGCGATTAACTCGAGTCCTACCAATTTGTATTGCACTGATTGATGCTTGCATTTATTTATGCTTGCATTTATGATTTATACCTGCTTGCTGCATGCTTCGATCGAGGCTTGGTGCCGAGAGTCCACACTCTGCGTTCTGCAATTCGCCAACAGATGGCCCTGCCTGCGCTGCGGCGCTCGTGTGAGAAAGCCGGTAGCGATCGGCGGTGCAGCCGGCGCTGGGGCGGCAGGGTAGATCAGCTGGTGACGCGCGGCGCGAACGGAGGTGCCGCACCGGGTGCGTCCACGGCACCAGAATAGCCCGTCTTCGCCGCGTGTGGTGAGCGGCGGGGTGTGTGACAGACTCGCGCGGAGGATCGGACCGAGGGCGGTGGCCGCGGCCCCGCTCGTATCGCCAGTGGAGAACGTGCGTCGGACGCGACTAGGTCGGCCCGCAGTGCCGCCGCTGCCACCGAGCAGTCGCGCTGTGGGACCGTGCGGGGCGCGGCGTGGTGCAGCCGGCACCCACTGCTGTGATGGTAAAACTGTAGCTGGCCTCCCGACATGGCCAGTTAGGAGCGGCAGAGGACCGGTCAACTGGCTGTGTTTGCGCCCGGTATCGACCCTGGCCGCGAGTGTCGCTCCGCCTGCGGAGACGGACGTCGGCAGGGCGACTCAGCAGTCAGCATCGCGTGCAGCGGTGCACGGCGCCGCTGAGAAGAGACTCTCCGTTCGTCAGTCGGCGGGCGCTGCTGGCATGGGGAGAACCGAGTGAGTTTCACCCAGATGTTCTTCACACACCCTGGTAGGCACCTCCTTTGTTGTCACCGAAGCCATGGTTGCACTGGAAACATCCAATTAATCCCTAGATTTAGTATTCGTTTCCACGCATTCCATTGCATTTGCTGTGTTCGCTCAACTGCGTCCATTCCATGTTACCCATGAAAAGTAAGTGCAGTTGGCGAACTGTCTCGCTGATCCTGTCGTGCCGACGTGTCCTGACCCACCGTTTGTATGCTCGCGGATCGCTGAGCACGTTTATACCGTACGACCTACACGATTCGGGGCGAGTCTGCACTACACCATTCTGCAATACCGGAAACCATATTCAGTTATGCATTTCCGTGCGGTGTCATTCAGTACATCGGGCTAATGTGAACTTATTTCTGGGTTCCGCAATTACCACCGATCACGCTCGGAGCGAGTCGGCTTCATTTTACGGCGGTCAGTCGCACAGGTGGTGCCTTGTGCAATGTTTCGAGCGTATTCTGTAAGAGTTGTCTCTG